AAAGGTTGTGATAAACGCATTTTATCACAAAGAATTTAATTATGATACAAATAAAGGTTAGGCTTATTTACACAGGCGCAGTGTCATGAAATTTGCTTTTAGTAGCGTTGTACTTATTGTCTAGAAGCCTGTTCGCTTTTTATTGTATCTTGTTGAGATTAAAATGATACTATTACAGTTGAATCTCGGATTTACGACTGCTTAAAGGAAGTGATGCAAACAGTTGATCTCGACGACGTTACAAGTAAAGATATTCGATTAAAGGTATACGTTTAAAAGCTAAATTTTCACTTAATACTGCAATTTCTGCACAATTTTTGTTACTGAAATTTAACAAAGAAATGAAGTTTTAGCTGCTTAGCTTAAGGTTGCTACTGGTAGCTCAAGTAGTTAAGCAACAAGACTTTGAATTTATTTTTCTACACCAGTTACAATCTGCTTCTCATATTTGTTTTATTTACTGAACGTATGATTTTCTTTAGGTTCAAGATATTTTGGGCATGAATTTGGATGATTACAAAAATTTTATCAGCCGTCAAATGCTAGTAATTATGGGACAGCTGGATAAAGCTTCTCAGATATTTGATTATCTGTACTTGGGCACCGAATGGAATGCGTGCGATTGGGAGTGGTTGGAGAAGAACGGGTAATTGCTGATTTTGATAATGCTCAGTAGTTTCATAAGATTTGTTAGATTATTTTTTTTATTTGTTATTTTTTAATTTTAAGTAAGTTGAGGTAGTTGTATATTAGCTGTACATTTACTTTTACGACTTTGTAGGATCAAATACATTGTCAATGTGACAAACGAGGTTGAAAATTTCTTTCCGGCTCGACTAAAGTATTTAAAGATTCGAGTTCCAGACGAAGCAAGCACTGAATTAATGAAGTATTGGAAACAGACATACGAGTTCATAAAAGAAGCAAAGTTAGCCTATTGTGGCGCATTGTTCGCTTCTTTTCTTTTTAAATTGATTCTTTTGGTTTTCACGATAGAATCTTTCACTTTAGCAGTGTTAGTAATTATTTAAATAACTTTATTTTACTTTTTCTTAGTTATTTTGGCTCTACTTCTGCTTCGTCTTTTAGGGATAAAGGGTGCTCGGTGTTAGTTCACTGTAAAAAGGGTATTAGTCGGTCCTCTTCGACTGTTATCGCTTTCGCAATGAAGGTGATTAGTTTTTCAAGTCTTTGTGTGGAAAAAATTATATGAGTTATTAGTTGTAATTTAGAGGACAGTGTTAATTATTTTATTATATTATTTTGTAATTATGTTTTGAGCTATGTTTTTCATGCAATGTCTATTTGTCTTCAACATTTGCCTGTTTCGCATTTCTGTAGAATTTTCTCCATTATTTTTTTGTCAGGAATACGGATGGGGATTAGAAAGGGCCATGGACCATGTCAAAAAAAAGAGGGACTGCATAACGCCTAATAAAGGCTTCGTTGAACAATTAAAAATATTTGAAGGTAAAAGTTAGGTTTTTCTGTTTCTTTTCAATCATAACGGATTTTTACTGGACCACCTGTAATTTCCTTTTTAGGAATGCTCGATGCGTTTAAAAAACGAGGCCGGTTTGATGTGCCAAGAAATCCATCTGAAACGAGTACTGAGTTAAATGCACAGGAGAAAAAGTGTTGCCAAGATAAGAATTATCACGCCTCACATAGTGACATTGTCAGTCTAAGCTATTGCTGAATTGCTTGATTAGTTTACTTCATGTTTCATTCATTTCAGCCATCAAAATTTTTTCCTTTTAAGGCTTTTTTCTGGTACATTAGGAAGATTTTACAGGTTAGTACCGAACTATGCAAATCTTGCTGTTCAAACAGGCTTGATGAACATGGAAATCTAGTAAAAAATCTTGTTGGCAGTTTTGAAGCGATAGGGAAAACTGTCGAGTCTTCTTTAAGCGTCACTCGAGCACTGGACTTATCCCAGCCTAAATTACGACTGGGAAAAGTTACCGACTGGAAGAGTCGTAGAGGGTTAGCCGTGTCTGTCCCCCCAGCCTGCAGCAATTCTCCGATTCGCCAAGCCCGTGCTGTAACCATTTCTCAGTAGTATTAATATACCTTTGTTGATAATTTAATTTCAAATAATTTATACGGGTTTGTTTATAGATTTTGCTGTTTTTGAAGTGAGAGTTTTATTTTTGCAAGATTCTGTTGTTCATGTAGAGGGTTTTGAATTTTTTTGAAGTTTTTTACTTTTACTCTTCCAGGTTTATTAAATGACTGTTAAAGATGCTGAGTAGAGCGTTTTTTCTTTAACTTGGTTTTAGAGAGTGTTAGTTTCATCATCGAAAATTTTTATAGTGAATCTCGTTTTTTTCTTTATTATTATTATTATTATTATTATTATTATTATTATATTATCAATGATATTATAATAACAGTAATACCAATAACTAATACGTTATCATCATCATCATCACCATCACTATCATCATTATTATTATCCTTATTACTTTTTGGGACGTAGTAGGACCTGTAACAACATTCTACAGATTCGAACATGTTATATGAGGATTAATTTTGAGACTTTTGTTACTTCACTTCATTAGCAATCTTGAGTTTTTCTTTTTTGAGCTTGTTTTACTATGTATTCTGTAATTCAGTTAAATTTTACATGTAGCAGACCACTTTATATTCTCATTTTCACCACTGTGCAATTGTTCTGCCATAACTTCTAATCTTCCGTTCGTCAATTTTTTTTTCCGTGTTTCTTACCGGACACTGTCATTTCTGAAACAGGTAAGGATGATTTGAATGAAAACTGATTATTTGAAGAGAAAAAGAGGAGTAGTTATGTGTATTAATTGCTTCAGTTGAGCTCCGCTTACTTTTTGAATTTCTTTCGTCTAGCACGGAGGCTGTGAATCTGAATTAGGTTCTTGCCGAGTTTCTTGTAAAATGTTTTTAACTATATCGATAGCGATAAGAAAATGAGAGCCGGTCAATAGCCTCAAGTAGAAGTGTTATTTTTCCAGTTTTTTGGCCTAGCAGGTTCTTGAGCTTCTTTTGACTTTCAGCTAGTTTGTGTATTTTAAACTGAAATCATTTTTTGTATTTTTTTCTTTGGTTTGTCCACAGCTTTTTTCCCTTTGTCTTGTATAGCGTTATCTGCAGTTCTGTCTTTCTTTACATGCTTTTTAAAGAATTGGATAGTTTAAGACTTTGTTTTTACTTTATCGTCCATTCGTTGTGTTGTCATAAAGCTCAGAAATTGGGGCTGTAAATAAAGGTTCATTCATTCAAAGGCTTTTAATGGATAGGTGATGCAGCGGTTGCTGATGGAGAGTAGGGTTTTTGTAATTGCAGAGCGTCTGTTTCTTTTCCATGCAGCTGACAAGGTTCTAGACCGTTTTGGTTGTAGTAGTATGGGGTAACTGATGACACTGTTTAGGTTGGGCGGTAAGGGCGACGATTTTGTTAACCTGTAGGACGAGAACTAAGAGGAGGTACTGAGTAGTAAAAATAGTAAAAACTAGCGATAATTCTTGAGGCTGTTGGTGTTCCATTTGTACTTTTGTTTTCCTATGGTGAACAGCTGCTTGATTTCTTTCTCCTTAGCTCTGTATTTTTTAATTTACTAAGTCTGAATTTATTTTTCTTTATTTGGCATATTTTAGCGTTTGTAAGCGACAGGGACGTAATTTTAAACGGCATAGAAAAGAGCCAATTAGGGGGACAGTATGTAGAGCCATGCATATCCAAAGGTGTTATGCAGTCAAGGAGAGGAGAAGGAAGGCACAGAAGAGTGAGCTATGAAACGCAGTAGTTGTACAAAACAGCTTCTCTATGTCAGAACACATTTGTGCAGTAAGGAGACAAAAAGTGGGGAAGTGAATCTTCTTTACTCAAAACTGAAAGACGTAGCGGAGAGCGAAATGCGGGATTCAAAAATTTGTATTTGTAGCAACAGCCCGAGGGATATACATTATGTTATAATACCTTCGATGGCTGGACAGGAATACATATTCCTGCTAACTGTCTTGAACATTCAAACACGTGAATACAAATACTTGGGGGCAAAACAAGTAGAATTGAAAAAGCAAAAGAGGTCAAATCTAGAATTAAAAAAACAGTAAGAATCTCTCAAAAGCGATTTTTTTGGGACCAGTCAAAGCGATTGAGAGATTTATTTTCTATAACTACAGGTTCTCTAAATGTTCTTCCTTACAGTCGTGCCCAGACTTGACAGTTTCAAGTTTCATTTCTTTGCTTTCCTTTATTTTAGTTTTTTGCTTTAGTCCTTGTGTTTTCTTTTACTTCTTATCATTTGTCTTTGTTTAAATTTTAGTTAAAATTTCTTCCTCTTTATTGTTGCTGTGAGCGCAGCATTTAAAGTCAGTGTTTTGAGTTGATTGTTGTGTTATAAGTTGCTTCCAAAAAATCAAGCTATTTCACGAATGCCCTAGGCTCAAGATAGCTCGTTAGTTAGTACAACTGAGAGTTATAGAGTTAACAAGGAGAAGAAAGAACGTAGGTAGCGAAACGAGACACTTTAAGAAAGACACCTTTAGCCCCGATGAAACAGAAGAACGAACAGTGCACTGTAAAGAATTTACAGCAGGTTTTTATGGACGAAAACTCATCTTAAAATTGAATATTAACTGAAAAATTTATAGGGCGGTTTGTTGAACATCGAAAAGCAGCGACCTAAGGACCTGATTAGCAGAGATTACATTAGGTGTAATAAGTAGCATATCATTGAGCTGCAGCTATTAGTAATTGAAAAAAAAGGAAACAAAGATGTCGAAACTAATCTGAGAACCATTAGCGGTACTGAAAAACTTGTACTTAGTTATTTTGAGAGCTTCAAGAAGTTACAGTGTAAACTGAACGACAGCTCAGAGGAAGGAAACTGCAAAATTTAGAAAGAACAATTAGTGGAGCTCAGACAGCAGTGGTACGCGTCCTCTATTTTAACGCGCACCCTGTTAAGTTATGCGAATCTTAAGAAATCTACCAGATTCATGAAACAGTTCTGGCGCGGAGAAAAAATAATGGAGGAAGGCTTGTCCCACATCAGCGTGCTTTGGAGGTATCGAGAAGAGGAGCAATAAGTACTTTATTGTTGCAGTTGAGCACTACTCTTGTGCCTCTTGACCGGCAATATTTCCTCCTTGGTACTACTTTTAGATTGAGTAAGTGAGCAGCTTATAGCGGCATTGAAGACCTGTGTGAAGCGTGTCAGCATCTGACGGTGAACCATAAGCTGTACTTCAGTGATCTTTTAAGTGGTGCCTATAAAAACGCTATTGAATCGCTCTGACAAAAATTTGAAAGCGGGCATAAGGAACGCTATGGGACTTTGGAGGCCATTTTGGACAACTGTCTGGCACGGTTCATGTGGTAAAAGCCGTGTATGCAGGACCGTCTTTACCATCTCAAGTTCCAAATTTCCAAATTTCACCCCTCTTTTCCCTTTCTCAAAGAGCACAATTTCTGAAAAGCTTCTTTATTGCCAATTCAATAGAGTCCAATTTTCCGGAAGTCTCTTACATCGCAGTTGCAAAGCTCAGTCGGTCTGTGTGCTTTCAAAGCATGCATCTAAACAGCAGCTCTTGGCGAGTTGCACATAGAGTAAGTAAACGGACTTAACCCACAAATATTCAGATGCTTCGACCTGCACCCTCGCCCCGTGCTTTTGCCAAAACATGTCGCCTCTTAACACCACGTAGCTTAATTGTGCATCACATTCCTTACTGGTTTGACAGTTTACAAGAGCCTACATGCATTCTTCTTATTTCTTTGTAAAGTTTCTCATTTCCCAATTTCTTATTTCTTACGAAAAATGGGGCCATTAGTCTAAATGAGCTTCAAACTGCCTTCATATTTCGAGATCAAAAGATTCTACAGA